GTGAAGTGCCTGGTGTCAGGGACGGCCCTGTTAGAGGCCAATTTGTCACTTTCCGCCTGGTTGAACTTGTTCCTGGAGTAGGCGTCAGCGCTGGGAGCAAGCGTGGCGGCAGCGATGTAGGCCTCCTCGTCCAGGAAGAGGGAAGGTACGGCCACTCCACCTCCGCCGCCTCCGCCACCTGATGGTGCAGCCGTCGGTGCACCTTGCTGTAACGTCACCGCTGAGTCCTTCAGTCGTAGCGCCAGGTTCTCAGAGCCCTGCCGGGTAACAGCACTTCAACACATGCCTATATTTATACTTAATTTCTAAAGAGACAACAGTGCATTTCTTAATTGTTATAATTTTACGTAATTAAATGCAAAAGTAATACTGTAACGCTTATAATATGCACAAAAAATAGTCAGAATGTATACAAGGAAAACATCGACAAATATAACACACAAATACTCCGCACATAGAAGAATGAAACTTATGACGACGTTTCGGTCCGACCTAGACCGAAAGCGTCATAAGTTTCATTCTATGTGCGAGTTATTTGTGTAGTGTTCTAGTCACGGTACTGCGCCTTTTAATTCTTCACAAATATAACATTAAAACCAAGCCAGCAGTAATAAACTATGCAAACAGCGTCAGACAGTAAAATAACAATAAACAAAACAAAACGATGAACAAATACAACAAAACACATTGTCAAAGAGAACAATAAAATAAAAAATAAAAAAATATTATCAACAAGTACAACAAAAACATCTTCAATAAGAGCAACAATAAAAACATCAAATTCAATAAAAACATTTTCAGCAAGTACAACAAATAAATCAGCAACACAAAAACGTTTTCAGTGACAACAAAAAATAGCAACAAAATAATTTTCAACAAGAGTAATAAAAGCAGAGTAAATACAACATTAAAAACATCAACAAATGCAATAAAAACGTCAAGAAATACACTAAAAACATCGCCGACAGAGTACAATTAAAAAATCAATGCAATAAAAACATCGACAAATATAATACAAATATCAACAAATACAATACAGTTTGGCAGTTTGGAGAGATATATTGTGTATTTTTATACGTATATACTTCTACACTGTTGTATTCTGGGCACCTCTGCTAAAACAGTGATTATGTGTGAGTGAGGTGAAAGTGTTGAATGATGATGAAAGTATTTTCTTTTTGGAGATTTTCTTTCTCTTTGGGTCACCCTGCCTCGGTGGGAGACGGCCGACTTGTTGAAAAAAAAATACAAACATCGACAATACAATACAAACATCGATAATACAATACAAACATCGACAATACAATACAAACATCGACAATACAATCCAAACATCGACAATGCAATACAAACATCGACAATACAATCCAAACATCGACAATGCAATACAAACATCGACAATACAATACAAACATCGACAATATAATACAAGCATCGACAATACAATCCAAACATCGACAATGCAATACAAACATCGACAATACAATACAAACATCGACAATATAATACAAGCATCGACAATACAATCCAAACATCGACAAATACAATACAAACATCGACAATACAATACAAACATCGACAATATAATACAAGCATCGACAATACAATCCAAACATCGACAATGCAATACAAACATCGACAATACAATACAAACATCGACAATATAATACAAGCATCGACAATACAATCCAAACATCGACAATGCAATCCAAACATCGACAATGCAATACAAACATCGACAATACAATACAAACATCGACAATATAATACAAGCATCGACAATACAATCCAAACATCGACAAATACAATACAAACATGCGCAAGCATAATAAAAATAAATTAACAATGGCATTAAGCCGCATTAGAGTGATCTGTGAAGGAATCCCAGTGTCCTCTCCAGCCTTCACAAATAACTGCCGCATGTGTGGTTTAATGCTGTCCACCCACCAATGCCACTGCCCATGAGATATACCTCCACTGCTGCCTCGAGCGCCTCTGGTTCCGACAGCAAACATATCGTCAGCATCAAAGGTGACCGCACCATAAAGGCCAGTCCTGCCAAGTCGAAATACGAACTCAGCACCATATGATCAGAGGTCCGTCGGAACATAAGCCACACCAGCCAAGCGGATTGTCTTTTCCTTCTAGTAAACCCAGTGTAAGCAGGACCCACATCCCTCTCGAAAGCATGTGTACATCAATTATCAGAAACGAAACCGACAACCTGAACAGCATACCCAGTCAGTCCTAAAGACTTTCGGTAAAAAATTACAACATCTACTTTGTGCCAAAGGTATAGGACACTAGTGAACCCACATAGGTGCAAACCATTCACACCTTGGAGATTGGTTTTCTGCAGGCAATATACCTGGGCACCTACAAAAAAAAAAAGCCTTCAGACATTCCATCAGTAAACGAGCACAGGTAGTTTACATTAAACATCACAATCATCAGACTATATGTGCCATTTAAAATGTGCACTCTTGAACACTTCTTTCCC